GGGGAGGGGAATACATTTCTTATGGTGAGGAAATTAAGTGTGAGACAGTATGTTTAGGATACTGGATTAGTAATCACCCTGTCTGAAAGAATGCATATAGTCTCATGTTAAATAGATCAGAAGAGATTTTTAATCTCATAAATGTGTATCTTTGAGGAGGCAGGAAGTTATATGCATAGTGCAAGCTCCCCAAAAATCCAATATGCAACTGGCCAGACAAGACACCATACTTAAGCTTTGCTTGGAGAGCAAGTCTTTGTCTAAAGGTTTATGGACATAAGGTGCTTTTGGTTCCTCAGCTAGCAGGCTAAGAAGAAACTGCCTTCTTGGGTTTAAGATTAGATAGCAGGGTCAGATCAGATTGTTTTTCTAATATTTTATTTTGTTTATTTATTCTTGTATCTCCATTTATATCTCAACATATGGTTACTGGGTTTATTTGGGTTTTTTTATATTAATATGGTTACTGTTTGTTATAATAAACCTTTCTGTTGTATTTTCAACATTTACCTGGCAATAAGTAGGTTGAAAGTATGATTTCAGACATCCAGGTCTGCTCTGTAAGCAGGGATCTATATTTTCTGAGTGTATGATTGGACAAGGGTATATAATTTTTCTAGCTGGGAAAATTCCTTCTCATAAGGGCTGGCAAGACATAGGTGAAATAGGTGAGGCTGAGGCATCACAAGCCAAGGAGTCGGTCCCTGTCACATTTTAACTGGTTCTCAGTGGTTAAGAAGCAAACAGCAGAGAGGGGCTGGGAGCAGAAGAGCATCCCAAATGTGCGAGAACATGCTGGGAGTGAATCTCAAAGGTGACCATAACTATATCCAGGGTTAGGTCATGTGACTTACATCACTGGTTATATTGAAGCACTGTTTCTTACATGATAGAAGTCTTTGATAGCTACTTGAGAACACCAGTTACGGTATAGGAAATCATGAATTTAAATGTGTGCACAAAAAATATCAATTGACGACCCCCCCCCCCCCAAGCCCAAAATGTCATACTTACTTCAGTAAGTACTTTATTCTACAAGCAATTCCACTGACTCCAGCAGAACTCCTTGTAGTATAAGGTATTATCCAACAAAAATAAAGGTACCTTACAGACTAGCACAAAACAAAGGTCCTACTGGAATATAAACTAAGGATTCAGTCCTACATTAAGCTGTGACCAAGCCAACTCCTCTGGCAGAGGAAGTAATTTGCAGGATCAGTTTACATTTAACCTTCTCAACCTTTTTTGATTCTAGGCACACCTTCTTAGACCTGAGGCAGCCCACGTTAGGCTCGAGGCACACTTTGGAAAATTTCAGCTCTTAATTTTCACGTTCTTCCACTAAAGAAAATTAACAGAGCCATTCTTCCATTACAAAGAACAAGACAGACCCAGCAGGCCAGAATGTTTTTAACTATGTGGACTTTTATTTAAAATATCCGTGAATCACATTTGCATACCTAACAGTACAAACCTTGTATAGTATCCCATGACATCCTTGAAAGAAGCTCAGGTCATCCCAGGGTGACGCAATTACCCCTCACTGATCTGAATCAAGTGAAACATCCCAAGTCAAGAGTCTTTTTAAATTATTTATATTTCTTTACCATATCTTTGTACCATACTATGAAGTTAATGAAGTGGTTGCCTTTACCATTAACCAACCTTAGGTACTTTATATTATGTTAGGACAGCTATAAGTAACTCAGAGCAAACAGAGTCATTTTATTGACTTCTGCTTTTTACTGTAGGTGCTGGTTTTCACTGGAACTACAATTTAACCACCTTTCCCAAATGCTGATGCAAAAGCTAAACAAACCAAGGGTGCTAGCATTAGTATATTTACATCTTGCCATGGTCAAAAGCTTCAGTTCAATTCTCAACTCAAATCAGCCAGGTCAAAAATATTAATTATGGACAGGTATATTCAAGTTTCTGTATGTTATTATTTGTAGGAGGATTCTTCTCCCTCGCCTTAACTCCTCACCATCCGCCTGCCCACCCACACATAGCTACCTTTCACACACAAGATTTGACAAGAGAAAAATACTGACAGACTGATATGACACTGAAATAAATTTGTCCAGCAGCCATTCGCAGTTTTATTCACCACCCCGCCTACAATGTCTTCACAACAAGTAGTTCATAAACTTAAAAAAAACCTGCAAGAGTTCTAGGGATTTGAATTATCCGATTTCCTTGTGTTTAACATATAAAAAAATATTTTTAAGAAAGTCCAATTAAAAGTTGAACAGGCATAATCCTAAAAAGAAATGCAAATGAACTATTGCAGAATTCATACTACCTGAACCAAAGAAAGAGAGCTGAAAGAAAGGCAAAAAACCCACTGACTATACAAAAACACGAGAAATTACAGATTAAATCAGACCAGTATACATCTTGTCTCCACGTGCCTCAGAAGTCAGAACAGGAAACCCTACATCTGGCAGTTATGGGACAACCTCCTCCAAAAAAGCCTCTTCCTAAACCTATTAGGTTAACAGACTGGCTTATGCCCTGAAGCAGAAGGGTTTCTATCCTTTCGCAAATCTTTGTTTATTTACTTGTTTAGCCTAGGGTCTTATAAAATCCTAGCGCAGACCAATTAAAAAAAGAAAGTTGCAATTTACAAACATCTTTAAGTAGGTATTAAACATCCTCCTTACTTGATAATCCATTTAATGTCTGTGTTTTCTGTTCTGCCTACTACACTTTTTAAAGACGCAATAATCACTCATTCTAAGCAGCTTTGTTAGTGTTTTGGTACCAAAACTATTAAGTATCCTCAGTTTTACAAGGGTTTTGCCTTTTTTTTGAAAGACAAAAGCTCCCTAAATTCAGACTAGTCTATTATGAAAAGAAAACCATGACAACTGTTTGTACTCCTGCTTTATTATTGCATCCGGCATGGTCACTCTTGGAAATTCAATCTATTATCGTTGCTAGGAGTCTGTTGCTGTGCAACCTAAAAGAGTATGTGGCACTTTCAGGCTAAGAAGCGTTAATAAACCTGTAGGCCTCCTTCTACAGTTCTGAACAGTTTCTTTAAAGAGCTTAAAGCTCTTCTCTAATAGTCAGCACACAATTCAAGACATAGCCTATTTAAAAAAAAACCCCAACAAGTAGCAATGACAGATTCTAACAAAACAACTAAATATTAAAAAAGGAAAGCTTTCCAAAAGCTGTCCAAATTATCCCTACAGTGTACTAACAGAATACATAAACAAACAGAATGAGCCTGCTAGTCTAATATAGTGTTAAAGATGGGCAGGTAAAAATCTCAAATGGTAAGAAATGTCAAAGTTAAAGTGTCAGCAGCAAAGTTAACCCAGGTGCACAGCACACCCTCCACACTGCATGATATGTCTATATTTAACACAAAGATAATGAGAATA